TTTTTTTTAGAGGTTTTTGCTATAGGGCACGTGTGCTCACCAGAAAGACAGAGAGAGACAGAGAGACAGAAAGCGAGAAATCACCCCCTGGGGGGATGGCCACGCCGCAACCCCTCCTCCTCCATTCTCCTCTCAGGATCTTGGGCACGCACGCACATGCGCCCGGTGTGAGTTTAAGCTGCCAGGTCTGGGACTTGAACTGCAGTCGACTACATGGGAGTCCCAGCGACACAGCCATTACACCAACTGCTGGTCCCACTGAGTTTTGATTCGGATGTGATGCCAGGTAGCGGAGCGCACGCCTGCAGGCCAGCCCACTCCACACCAGCAGTGAGCAGTGCCGGGCGGCGGAGAGAGGGAGGGAGGGAGGCCGTGAGGCCGTGCGCTGACTGTGTGTCCGAGCTGGGTAGGGGCTGAGCTTCTTGTGCTCCGTTCCCTCATTTACAGCCAGGGCACCTGCACCTGTGGGAGGCCGGGGCGAGGCCAGGACCGAGCCTCTGCTCAACCAGCGGCCACAGACCCAGGGAGCAGAGTCCTTGTCGGCGGGGTGGAAGTCGCTCTCTCGCTGGAGGACGTGTCTGAGGGCTGCCTGGGCATGGCAGTGAGGGCGGGTGGACCCCTCGTGGCTGGCTGCACACTCAAAGCCCCAAACTCCGCAGCCTAAAGCGCCCAGTCCCCTCACAGGAAGGAGAGCGAGGATTGCGGTGTGACCGTGCCCCACGAGGGGTGCTTTCTCGCGCTCTCCTCTCTTAGGCACACACACGTGCTCTCTGGCCAATGAGGAAAAGTGTGCGTGTACCGGTCTGCCGCCACATGGCTAATGGACATCACCTAGGCTTGACCCTGTAAAGGCAGACGCCTGCCGACTCCAGTCCTGGTGGCTGCAGAGTCCACAAGCATCAGAAGGGTGGGGCGTGGCCGGTGTCCACGTGGCCTTCTCTCTGCTCCTGGTCTTGTTCCCTCTGCTTGGGAACCTGCCGTAACTCAGCCACCGAGGCCTACACTGGCGACATTGCCACACTCAAGGCCTTGCTTACTCTGGGATGCCCCGCTTGGGCGTTTTGCTTAAGCGATGACCACATAGCCACGACTTGCGGGGCGTCTGAGTGAAGCTAGGGGCTCAGTGCTGGAAGTGGACTCACGGCGGGGTCGGGCCAGCACACCGCTGACAGCTCTTGGCCTTGTCTCCCAATGCACTCTTGGCAAGTTCGTGCTCAGGGCAGGAGTCTCGAGAGCCCGTCCCTGGGGCCAGCAGGTGGCATGGTGGTTAGGGCGCCGGACTCCCACATGGCTGACCGTGGCTGGAGTCCTGGATCTGGCAGCTTGCTTTCTCACTTTCTCTCTCTCTGGTGAGAGCACATGCCTGGTAGGGACCAGCAGATGGCGTAATGGTTACATTGCTGGACTCCCACATAGTTTACTGAGTTTGAATCCCAGACCAGGTGACTAAAAAACTCATGCTAGGAGCATGTAAGATCCCAAGAGGAGAATGGAGAAGGGACTGTGGCCACCCACACCCCCCCCCAGGTGATTTCTTGCTTTCTGTCTCTCTGTCTCTTGTCTCTCCAGCTTACACACACACACCCTATAGCAAAAATCACTCTTGAAAACATAATGGTAATAATAACTAAAGTAGAAAGCCTGTCCCTAGTCTCCAGCGGATTCCTTCCCTAAACTGCCTTTGCGAAGACACCGGTGCAGACCAGCGAGTGCTGTCCAGGGTCTCGTGCCGCCGGCAGGCTGGCTCTGACCATCTCTCCTTCTCCTTCCTTGTCTTTTCTGCTAGTAGAGAAACTTGAACATGTAGAAAGCCGAGTAATCCGGCAGGTTATGTCATCTTCATGTATAGACCGCACTTCGTTTCATTAATAGTATGGAAAAGGTGTGCTTTGAAATCTGAGGCCAGCCAGTGGCATGCTGCTTAAGGCAGTCCTATCCCATGTGACCAACTGTGTGGTTCGAGACCTGGACCCGGGGTCATGAAAGACATGCCAGGAGGGGCAGCAGGGGGTTTGATGAAGGCACCGGGCTCCCACATGGCCCACCATGATCCGAATCCCAGACCTGACAGCTTAAAAATCATGCTGGGCACATATGTGTGTGTGCCCCAAAATCCAGAGAGGAGAGTGGAGAAGGGATGGCCGGATGGCCGTCCCTGGGTGGTTTCACAGGCCTTAGGGGAAACCTCTGGAAAGGAACAAGGTGTTTGTGCTTTTAGGGGAGGCTGGATGGAGGCCGGCTTTCACAGGCAGGGCTTACCGTGGCCGGGGGCCATGCTCAGCCTCCAGCTCTCCAGTGTGCCCTGGGGCCTCGGTCAGGGCCCCTGTGACATGGGTGTAGTCCCGCTTACTCGGCTCCCCTGAGGCCCAGGGGCCGGAGCCTCTGCCTGGCCCCCTCGCTTAGCCCGCAGAGCGCCGCCCCGCCTGGTACATGGGGGACCGGCAGGGAGTGGCACCTGCTGTGGCTTCTCGGGGCCCAGGGTCTGCGTGGGTGAGGCTCCCCCACCCACCTTGCAGAACGGGCCCAGCCCGGGGACGGCCTCGGTGCACTGCCTGGCGTCACCACAGGCCCCGTGGTGGCAGGCAGGGGGTGCGGATGGCAGCTCCTGGGAGCGGATTGTGCCCGAGCAGGCTGACGGGCTCCACGTGGCCACACGGAGCTGGCGCTGAGCCTTCTGGAACGATCGCGTTCATGCACTTCATCTCAGCGACACTTTGACACGATGTTGACTCACTGTTTGAAAAGCAACGCCGCGCTCTCGTCTAGTGTTTACTTAACTCAGAGTATTATCTACACGTGGAGGGCTGGCTAAGCTGAGCCCGGCCTCTGCTCCTCCCGGGAAAGGCTGCAGTGACCGTGCAGTTGTGGTGTAGGCCGAGAGCTGTGCCGGGTCCCCGAGCGGGTGATGGCCAGAGGCAGGTGCAGCAGTGCCCGTCCCGCAGCCCGGGGCACAGCTGTTCCCGCATGTCTCAGTGGGTCTCGTGTTCATCCACACACGGTGTCACCGCTCGGAGCTCCAGCAGACAGAGGTCGTCTGTCAGAGTGGCATCGGTGCTTGGACTGAGCTAGTTTGGGGCCAGTAGACCCTCATTGTGAGACTCAGTGGCTGCAGGCCCCAGGGCATTGTTCTTGGATGACACGCAGCCCAGCAACGGTCGCCTGGGTCTGCTGTCTGTTTTCCGCAGACTGCTGCTCCCCCAGGCCCTCCTTGCGTTTGGGGTCCTGGGCTGACTGGCCCCTGCTCGCCTACCGCTCCGAGCTCCACGTGCTCCCAGACGCCTCCTCCTGGGCCCTGCTCCGTGGTGCTTCTCCATTGTGGGTGGCTCAGCGCCATGCTCGTGGCTCTGCTCGCCGTGGTCCCTCTGCCCACTCACTGCCCAAAAACTGCCAGTGTGGGGTGAGGCCCATGCACAGGACTGCCACACAGCAGACCTGGGTGCTCAGGTGCCAGCGGCAGGCAGGTCTGGGTCTCAGTTCCTGCACTCATGCTCACCTGGCGGCCCTGCCTCAGGTGAGCCGAGAGCCCGGCGAAGGAGCTACTACCACGCAGCCTGTGGCCGGTGTGTGGCAGGCTCTGACTTCTGCCCCCAGGTGGCGAGGACAGAGTGTGCCATCCTGAGCCCGAACCTTCCTGTCTTGGGCGCTCCATCTGAGGAGGCCCTACCAGTTTGCCGCTGGGGACCGACAGCCACTGGCTTGAAGTGGCTCCCGC